ACAAAATCAATAAAAATATGTTTAAAAAAAAAAAAAACTTGGCATTGAGCCCTAGCCAGCTTGGTTCAGTGGATAGAGCATCAGCCTGTGGACTGAAGGGTCCCAGGTTCGATTCTGGCTTGATCCCCAGTTTCAGGCTTAATCCCCAGTAGTGGGTGTGCAGAAGATAGCTGATCAATGATTCTCTCTCGTCATAAAAAAACAAACAAAAATCGGCATTGAAACGTTAGGCTAATGAGACCATGAACACTTTAATGAAGGCAGGCAGCACAGTTAAAACTACAAACCAATTGGACCGATGCAGTGAGCTCCGCAGGGCTGTTCATGGGAACCTCTTGGGATTTGTACAAAGTGAAAGTCTATTTTTAACATGACCAGATTTACACTGATTCCAGTAGAGCAGAATGGCAAACTTACCAGTGGAGAGAGAGGTTAAAGCCCTCCTGAGCCTGTCTCCAAAGTTCAGAACTGCATCTATTTTTAAACAATGAGTGTGAAGAGCCAGGGGCTGAAAATAGGTTCCAATCATGTGTCCGGGGAGAATATAGGGCGTCAGTATATTTCATTCTCACAGAACATGAATCGGGCTGAGAGTATAATACTATCCTTCTGACGTTTACTTCTCCCAATAGACGTCAGGGAAGACAGCATAATTTGCATGCATATTCATTTAGTGCAATTCTAAATCATTTAAAAAAGTATGTTGATATTTTTAAATACTTTCTAAAAACATGTTTTGTTAAAATTAAAACAGACTAGAGTCATAGTACTGTAAAGTTATACAGAGACATTATAAATTAGCAGCTATTCATATAGCAGTCAAAGTAACAAGAGGCTAGAAAAGCTATGTAAGTAGCCTGGTCATTTTGTGGTCACGTGACCGAGCAAAGAAATTAGGTCTTCTTTTCTCTTCTGGCCAGAGATTTTCTCCTGCATCCCTAGTTTCTAGAAAACAGATTTATTAATGTGTGCAGGACTTCAATCCCGGTGCGATGGGAAGATAAATAATATAATGTCATTTCCAGTCTCAAAATGCTTACTATATGCTTGTGGAGACAAGATATAAAGACATTAAAAAATATGAAGCAAAGTTAAATGCATTACTTAAAATAGAAGACATGTAGGAAGTCACATATGATTCATGACCAGAGAAATGCAGATGCTATATACTAAATTTCAAAATAGATTGAAGAGCCCTGATCGGTGTGGCTCAATTGGTTGGATGTCGTCCAGTGCACCGAAGGGTTGCCAGTTAAATTCCAGCTCAGGGCACATGCCCAAGTTGCAGGCTCGATCTCTGGTAGGGGCATGCAGGAAGCAGTTGAGCACTGTTTCACTCTCTCTCCCTCTTCCTTCCTCTCTTTATAAAAATCAACAGAAATATTATAAAAAATAGATTAAACATTTAAAAACCATCTTGACATGGGAACTTTCTACAATAATACTTGTTATCAATAAGGAATTATAGTGTAAAGGGAGCCTTAAAATATTGCTATTAATTTTAATTATAACCAAACAATATTGCTGAAACTTTCTCCTTATCTCAATCTGCATGGTTCCAAAGCAAAGATTCTTTGCTAATGTAAATACTCCTTGAAGCCATCTAAATACATCAAATCCCATTTTTCCTGATTGACATAGAGTTAAACAAATTGCCAATAAGACAATAACAGTAAAGCATTCCATTGAGAATGAAAAGGCTAACCACAGACAGGGAGAATATATTTGCAATCCATATCCCAACAAAGAACTCAGTCAGGATGCTAAAAAGAACTGTTGAGATGGAAAAATCAGGGAAACTCTTGACTGGGCACTTCACTGAATAGGTACTTCTCTGACCCATAATGAGCATAAAAATATTAATCATTGTTATATAAATGTAAGATTAACCCACCATGAGAAAAGGGGAAAATAATATTTCTTCATGCTGCTAGTGGCAAAAATTAGGATAACATCAAATTCTGTCAAAGATGCAGAATACTCGAACTTCATATGTTACTGGTATGAGAGGAAAAGAGTCAGTTTGGGAAACTACTGCAGTGTCTACTAAAGTAAATACATGCTTATCTGGTTAGTTAGCAATTACAACATGAGGTAACTATTCAAGAGAAAGCCCATAAGCCACTTCAAGAATGTTTATAACAGCCTGGCCAATGTGTCTCAGTGGTTGAGCATGGACCTATGAACTAGGAGATAACGGTGGTCAAGGCACATGCTTGGTCCCTAGTAGAGGGCATATAGGAGGTAGCTTATCAATGATTCTCTCTCATCATTGATGTTTCTTTATCTCTCTCTTCTCCCTTATCTCTGAAATCAATAAAAATATATTTTAAAAAATAATGTTCATAATAGGTTTATTGTATTAGCCTAAAGCTGGAAATGACCCACTTAAGGAATAAGGAATAAGTGGATGGATTGTGGCTTAGTCATCAATGAAAAGCAACCTAAAATATGAAAAGAAGAGAAATGCATAGATATTTGTTTCATTTCATTGTTTTCTATCAAATACTTGTTAGAATTCACAGTTTCAATCAGATAGTGTTTACATGGAAATAAGAGTGAGAGAGAGAGAGAGAGAGAGAGAGAGAGAGAGAGAGAGAGAGAGAGAGAGAGTTAATTCCTTCCAGCAATAGTGAAAATATAAAATTTTCTAGCAATATCATACTCTAGGCACTTCCAGCAGGTGTCCCTGAATATGCAATGAATCACAGAGGACTTATTCAGATAGATAAACACCAGTGTGATTGTTTGTAAAATAAACTTTTAAATATTTTTCTAAAATGAAAAGTGAGAGAACAATTAAGAGAAACATTTGAAGAGTTGAAATGAAAGAACATAGGTGTAAGGAGTCTATTATTTTTGTTTGAAACTCTTATTTTCTCTGCAATCTGACTTATTTTCCCTTTTCCCAACAGCATTCTTCTGTGTAATTTTCATGTGAAATAAGTACCTTTTAAACAATCAATCCAGTCATTTTAATGACATACCTTTGTTTCTTTTCATTCCATTTCACCATTTATCTTCATGTGGTTTTTGTATAGAGGTATTCTAATACTAAAAAACAATTTTTTTATACATTTGTTTCTCAAGTTGGCTGCTTGAGAACTCATTGTAAACGTTTTGGGTACCGTTTTCCAAGAGGAATAAAACTGGGCTTTGTGAGTACTTTTTTCTACTTATGAAAGGCCAACTTCCTACTTGTCTCTTCATCTTCCTTTCTTCTTTCCATTCTTTTCACCTTCTTTCCTTCCATCCATCCATACATGCATGCATGTTTATTGAACACTTACTATGTGCTAAACCTTGCTGAAACCCCAATGTGCACCACAGCTCTTTCCACCAGTTAAAACTGTCCCCAAATTTCCCTGGGATGCAGCCCCCAATGCAGTCAACTGTCATTTTGAGGTCTTGGGGAATGCCATACCAAGTGCCACATATAATATCTTTATTTTGTTTGTTGTGCCATGTTCATTTTCTGCTTCTTGTTGCTGATTTTTAAATACATACAACTCTCCTTAAAGCTCCATTGCTAGAGACTTCTCTCTGTTCTGCTAAACTCATGAGATCTTGTTGAGGATGCATGACCTTCTTTTCCAGGGTGGACCCAATTTCTGGGCCCGCTGTATCAATTGGAATTCTCTTAACCTATTCTGGGATCATCGCAGTTCATTTCATGAAGCAAGACTAGAGAAACCACCTTTCCTACTTTTGAATTCAGAGTTTTGTATAAGTTACTTCCCCAATTAGAGAATTCAGATCTCTATTTCTTTTTACCCTTTATCCCCTTCTTCACTGAGGTTACTTAAGTTATTATGTGTCTTAAGCACGATAAAAAAAAAATATCAGGCCCTACCCTTTTCTTTTGAGAGCTCATTGGAGAAAACGTTTCTGAGAAATGGCATTGTGGTAAATTTTAGATGACCATTGTTTATTCTGTTACATATCCGACTTGCAAGATGAAAGCTGGTCAGTCCCTGTTGGCTCAGAGAGATGACATATCTAGATCAGAATCCATAGAGTGAAATTAAGCATGTGGTTCTTCTAGCTTAGAATTCCTGCCCAGAAATAATACAAGTCAGGAAAAGTGGACTCCCACCTCTCTCCAGTCCAAGGCTTCCAGTGGAAACGGGAAAGGCTCTGCAGGAGGGGTTTTCTGATCTAGCCTAGAGACCAACCAAATGTATAAGGAGCGATTAGAATTAGAAACTCCTTTATGGAATCCATCTCGGCACTCTCTGTGTTCTCACTCCGACATGAATAATGTTAAGGGAAAAACATTGAAAAGCTGTTGTCTGGAAGTGAGCCTTGTTTCAGAATTCCTATTGGTAGGCGTGAGTTAGATCATTCCACACAGGGAGCACAGAAGCATTCGTGGTGTAGATAATAGGCAATGATGTGGCCTCCTTTCTTCAAAAAAAAGAAAAAGAAAAAGAAAAGAGACTAAAATTCTCTCACATTTTAGAAGTTTTTATGCTACATAAAGGATAATAATGCACCCTGGCTGGTTTGGCTCAGTGGATAGAGAATCGGCCTGCTGACTGAAGGGTCCCAGGTCTGATTCCGATCAGGGGCATGTACCTTGGTTGCAGGTACATCCCTAGTAGAGGGTGTGCAAGAGACAACTGATCGATGTTTCTCTCTCATTGATGTTTCTAACTCTCTATCCCTCTCCCCTTCACTCTGTAAAAAAAATCAAAAATATTTTTTAAAAGAATAATAAATGTGAAGTGGTAAAAGTTGAGACTTGTATATATTTAATTAGCCTGTACTGAATGTGTAATATATGCTTGAACCATTCTGGGAACTGTGAATACAAAATCCCAACATGGAGATAAAATGAGCTCTGGCGTTGCAGAGGCATGTAGGTGATTAGCATTTATGTAGGTTTGGGTTCTGAATTTGAATTATGATGTTATGTGATATATATAATTTTAATATATGCTTTCTTGCTGATATGAATAATATCGCTCCTAATGTTGGTTTACTCTTTCCCTCTCTAGGAGATAGTCAACTTCAACTGTCGGAAACTCGTGGCCACGATGCCTCTTTTTGCCAACGCTGACCCCAATTTTGTGACTGCCATGCTGAGCAAGTTGAGATTTGAGGTGTTTCAACCTGGAGATTACATCATACGAGAAGGAGCTGTGGGTAAAAAAATGTACTTCATTCAGCATGGCGTTGCGGGAGTCATCACAAAGTCCAGTAAAGAGATGAAGCTGACGGACGGCTCGTACTTCGGAGGTTAGTGCCAAAGAAACACAACCGAAGTGACACGATGGTGCTTCAGTATGCGTCTTCCTTAGGGTTCTGGAGGTGTCAGAATGTTGATTTGTTGGTCTGGAATTCTGATAAAAAAGTGTCTATAATGACATGTTTTTTTCTCTTATGAGGCCTTGTCAAGCTTAACACCAAAAACTGGAATGTTTTCTTTAGAAAAAGGCAAGAAGCCTGCCTTCCAATATCTGCAGACTTATCCTGTAGGAAAGAATTCAAGCAAAATTTTTTCTTCTCATCAGTGAGGTGCTCAATAAGTGCTCCTTATTAAGTGGCCCTTGTTGCTTTCTGTTCATCCCTCATAGACGTCATCCCTTTCTACCCCTTTTGAAGGCTTCTCCATCAGAATCAATGTATCCCAACTCTGTGTCTCCATGGCACTTCCCATAGCTTTGCGGAGTCCTGGTCAAGTCCACCTCATGCTCAGATTAACAGGTAGTTACCTGTCTTCTTTCAGGTATTAGGTGGCAAGTGTGGCATCAGAGAAGCCATTTAAAAGTCAAAGACGCTCAGGCCCCAAATGTCAGAAGTTCTGATTCTGGAAGTCTAGACTGGAGACACACTTTTATTTGTTTATTAAAGAATTCCAGTTATCAGAGGTGAGGGTTGGATGAAAAAAGGTAAAGTGATTAGCCAAGGAACATAAATGTATAATCCATGGACATAGACAGCAGTGAGGTGATGGCCAGAGGAAAGAGTGGGAGCAGGGCTGGGTAGAGGTGAGCAAAGGGGGGTAAATGGAGAACATCTATAATAGTGTCAACAATAAAAAGATTCATAGTTGCATTTCATCTTGCCTCCTTCTGAGACCAGCCTTGCAGCCAATAATTCACCATCCTTTAAAGATTGTTCTCATAACTGCACAAAAATGATATAACTTAAGCAGAGCAAAGTTATAAGAAATAAATTTATTTAAACAGAAAATAATCCATAGTTATAAAGATAAATTATTCAAATCAAATTAATGAGTTGAGAACCAATCAACTGTTTTTTTATGATATGATAATAATAATAATCAAAGTTTAAGATGTTTTCTTCAATAACAGCTAAGAAATAATTATTAGAAAAAGTTTATAATTGTATTAAATGCTTTCGTTGAATTTATCAAAATAACCATAAGGTTCTTATTCATCAATCTATTGCTGAATAAAACATAAAACTTAAAAAATTAGTTTCTTTGAGTTTTGCTCAGCCGTTAAGGACAATTTTGAAGTTTCCACCTTCCCTTGTCATCCTCCTCTTCTTCCTTCTTGTGTCGTTAGCCCCTTAGCCTTTTGTAAAATAGTGCTAAGAAAAAGGAAATTAGGAGAATTTAAGAATCTAAAGGGGTCTTTCATGTTTGAATGCAGAAAAAGAGAGAGCAAGTGGAAGATGTGGAGTAAGAAATAAAAGTATAGCCTAAGAGCCTTGTTTGGCAGAAGATGGTGTGGAGGTAAAAACGTTTTTAAGACAATAAAAGAAGGGGTGGTATTATAAATATGTCATAGAAAAGTTTAAAAAGAAGTTCCTGGAAGTTACATTATGCATTTAGAACGTGCTTCTACATTTGATATATGTTTTGTGCATTCAAGGAGCTTTTAATTACTATACAGTTGAGTGTACTAATGTGAGTAAGGTTGCATACACAGCTGGAACATTTACCTCCCTGGATTTATGTGGGTGAAACTGGTAGAAAAGTCGATTAAATTGTCCTTGTGCCAATGAGATCATTTTGGGGATAAAAACTACTTTGTCCTGTTGCTGTATTTCTTCAGCACATTGTAGCATCTCTATCCACAAGTGTGGTTGGTCTGTAATTCTGTGATTATGTTGTTCACTTTGTGTCATGACGACTTTGGGTATCTCAGGTTTTCCTCATTTCTAAAAAGAGTAAGAAACTTTTTTAAACAATATATTCTCTATTTCAATTTTAAGCAATCTCTCTTTACACACACAGTTGATATTTATTTGAGTTAAACACTCAAGAAGATAATGAAAGGCAGTTAGAATCTAAGAATAATAAATTCTACTTAGCCTGTTAAGGTTTAGAATTCATAACACTTTCAGAATCTAATGTGGGATTTTAAAATTAACAGAGCGGACCTTTGTATTACACTCATTTTATATTCGTGTAAACAGAGCTTGGCCAGTTCACAGGGCAGGTCAGCAGAAAAGCCAGGGATCAGCTGAGCAATGCTCTCCCCACTTGGCTAAGATGTCCGGATTAAATAAACATAATTAGTACACAAGACACACTGTCCCAAGTGATAAGAGGACTTATTCAAAGAAAGGTCAAATTTGGAGTTTTGTATTTTGTGCCTAACCTGACTTCTTTCTACAATAATGCAGAACAGTAATTCTAGATTAATACATTTTTTTATAACTCAGACAGGTTTTTGTGGTTGTTTTCTGTCTCTCCATGCTGAGGTGAGGGAGGAAGCGTGGTAGGTCAGCACATGCGCGGTGGCACTCAGCATTCCCCAGTTTAGTTCTAGGGGAGGGAGCGCAGGGAAAGGGGCAGGCAATGTGTCCACTGTGTGTTAGGAATGTGCCTAAGGTCCTGGGAAGACAGCATTCAGCTAAATTGACAGGATGTCCCAGTGTGCAGCTTATGTTTTTAGTAGGTACTTAGGTTTTAGAAAGAAGAATTTAATAAGGTGATATAGAAATGACTTAAGTATAAACCACATTATCAAATGGTGATAAGTGCTTCAGGGAAAATTATTGTGGGGGAGAAGGATAAGGAATCCCCCCTCCTTCACAGGGCGCTATGGAGAGCAGAGACCAGGCACATAAGAGCCACAGGCTCCCTACTGGGAGTGATGGTGACTGGGCATCCAGTGTCTGCTGAGACTGGTCCTCCTGGCTGGGGCCAGGTAATGGAGATGCAATGAGTTTGGGAGCTAAGGGAGGCTCTTGCTTGTAAGAAAGGGTTCCTGGACTCCTTCTTGATTTCTTCTGTGAAGAAAATTGTATTTATTTTTTAATCCTCACCTGAAGGTATTTTTTCCATTGATTTTTAGAAAGAGTGGAAATGGGGGATTGGGGAAAGGAAGGCATCAACATGAGAGAGACATCAATTAGTTGCCTCCTGCATATGCAACTCAGTTAGGTATGTGCGTGACCATGAGTGGGAATGGAATCTGTAGTCCTTTGGTCTAATCTCTGTCCAGACCAGCCAGGGCAAAGAAAATGTTATAGTTCTCCTTTTATGTATGAGGAAAATAAGCCTCAGAGAAGTGAGACCACCTGTCCAGGGGCATGGAGCTGAAAAAGGACAAAGTTTTAAACTCAGCTGTGAATCTGAACGCACAGCCTGTGTTTTGTCCACTGTCCTCACTGCTTTCCAAGAGAGACATGGTGATCCTCAGGGTGTAAACGTTGAACTGTTTTATAGTCTACTAGTGGCCCGGTACATGAAGAATGAGCCTTCCTTCCCCTGGCTGCCGTTCCTGCCTTTGCTCTGACCCAGGGCTACCTTTCCACCTTCCCATGCTGCCCAGGGGCCCAGAGTGGCTGAAATGGTGCCTTTGTATGCAAATTAACCCACCATCTTTGCTGGGTTAATTTGCATATTCACTCTTGATTGGCTGGTGGGCACCACAAAGGCACAGACAATTTGCAGCCTATTCTTTTATTAGTGTAGATTTGTCTGCTCACCTGACCCTCCTATTATACATATGATCAATATATTATCCACTAAGAGAAAATTCTGTTGCATTGGTATACCTCATTAAAATTGCAAATGATGCTTTTTTTTCACTCAATAGTTCATAATTTTAAAGAAAATTTTCTGTTTTCCTAATGGAAGGTGTTTCATTGTTAGTATCTCTACCCACTCACCTCTTATGGGGCGTTTTCTTTTCACACAAAAGTGTTCTAATTAATTCTGTCTCTTAATTGTCCTGCTGTCAAAATACGTTTTTTCTGAAGGTGCGGCCATGTAAATAAGTTCACCAGCAGGAGCCCACTTCCGGTGTGGGTTGCTGTGATAAATCATTTGGCATTAAACGCTGTTTAACTGTGTCTAATGTTTTGCCAGCCTCCAGGAGACCACCAAGTACTTTATACACCTAATGTGCATGTTTAGGATTTTTATGTCCCAAATGCATGTGACCGGATAAGGATCATGTGGCATTTAAAGTTGAGAGTCTCAGACTGAACAATCAGACAGGCAATCCCTCCCCAGCTTGTAGGAGACCAGGGATCTGCTGATTTCTAGCTTACAGTTCACTTTGCCTCGCATGCATTTCTAAAAGCTGAGGCTGGTTTTATAGAAGGTGTGAGGAATCCGTGGATGGTAAATTCACAACTTAATTAGCCCAATGCTCCTATTATATTTAGGAGAAAGAGGAGGCAGCAGCAGAGAATAACAATGAGTCTTGGAGATTTTCCCTTCTCTTCTTCATTTGTTCTGCCCTTAGGCCAGACTCATAAAATATTTGCTTCAATACTGTCAAGTCAGCTCTGACAGATCTTTTTGCGGTGTTAGCCCACCTAGAAATATCAGATAATGTACAATTACTAGGCTAGCTAGGTTATTGGTGGGAGAGATGTTAGCAGCTGTGTCCTCACCTCACAGTCCTAGATTCTATAAAGTCATGTATAAATGCATCCGTGTAGAACAGAAGAGTAAATCCAATGTCTGCAAGACTTATGAAGACCAGGGAGAGCCTTAAGAAGACATTTGATCAGGCTGGCTGGTCATTGACCTATGAACCGAGGTCACTGGTTCGATTCCCCATCAGAGCACATGCCCGTGTTGTGGGTTCAATCCCTAGTAGGAGGCAGTTGATTGATTATTCTCATCGTTGATGTTTCTATCTCTTTCTTCCTCTCTGAAATCAATAGAAATATATTTTTTTTAAAGAAGACATATTTTGAAGCTATCATGCCTGCTCTCTTTAATAAAATAGAAAAAGAGGAAGAGAAAATAAAAAGAGTAGAAAATAAAAAAGTTTTTATTTTGGTTCCCTTGTATTCTTGTG